AAAAAAAAAAAATTAAGATACCTTGGGGGTTATTCCTTGTACTTCCAATTTTAGACATTCAAGAACCAGGGGACTCATTATTATCCAAGCAATAGTTAAATAAGAACAAGTTGGCATCACCAATAACTACACTGTATGTACTACTTCGAAACAGCACCCATGTAAAACTTCGAGTTGCACCTAGTTCATTCGTGTTGAACTATGAATCAGAAAACAAAATGAGACCTCCATTCTCTTTTTCAAAAAAAAAAAAAAAAAAAAAAAAAACCATTTTTTCAACATATCAATACTAGCCCATCACGATCGTAAATCTAAAAAATATAATCTACCCCGAATCACTTATGATCATGTTAGCTCAATTTTATACCACAATAAGGATATGCTTGATATTAGCCTCTCTTATTTGGAAGACAAAAGTCTCACCTAAGCTAAGGTACTTGATTGTTCAGGGTCAAATTAGAACCAATCAACTATTACACTTCAGAAAGCTATACAAATCCCTTAATCCCAACTAAAACAATGTCTGCAAGAACAATACTAAAAAAATGCTATTTAATTATATATATAGAAAAAGAGGTGATACACCTTATCTGACTATAGATCATTAAAGAGTGGGAAATATGGTTATTAGCTATGAAAGACTACGAAAATACTTACATCGTAGATATAAATTTATTGCATGGCTGAGATAGCCACTCCCCGGAATTCCCGTTAAGAGTGAAGTAATGGGTACAAGTCTGAAGAGTATGCCATCAGGGTAAGCAGCCACGGACTGAAGCCACTTCGAGTGGCTCGGTGCAAACACATCACCACCTCTTTTTGACCAAATTATAGTGAGGCCCTGTTCCAGATTATCTGGTTAATACCTTATCATGACAAGCACTTTTTTTCATTTCAGAAAATAGAAGTTCGGAGAGTGACTTACGTCCTTGCTCGACGTCTCTGTTATGCTGGTAAATTGCATGGTATGCGACTGCAACATGCGATTGAATACCTCCGGGACCTATATAGTTGAAATAGAAAATCCATCTAAAACAACTGTCCCAACTTATGCGCATAAAATTTATACGATATCCAAAGACAAATTAAGTGCCTACTTTAGCAAGTGTGAAATACCTTCTTTTTACTCTCTCTTGACTTCATCTCAGGCAGAGGACTTGTTCCGTCGGAAAAGAGACAATCTCCAAGATCATCCAAATATCCTTTTAGTTCAGCAGGAGGGACTCCTGATGATGGTTTCTGCTTAACACAAAGTAAGTCCTGGCCTCCAACACCCATCCCCACAATGATATGTGTCCCATAAGTCCGGATAAATCTGCTAAGAACTGTCAAATTAGAAACATGCAACAAGACTACCAAATGAAAACATGAATGCATATCTAAACACTATCATGCAGATACTTAAGTACTAGTACAACCCCTCAAACCCAAGCAAGTTGGCAGCGGCTATCCTTAAATGCAGTAGTACTTGAAGAAAAAGGAAAGGGGGGCCCTTAACATATCAGCTAACACACATATGACGATATTTTAAAAAGTTGTGTTTTGCCAGTTAGAACTCACAAACAGCTACTCATCCAATTAAGGAAAAGCGCACTGAGTGGAATGGAGAAGCTACCTGGACAAGGATGCCGGATCCCAATGCGGTGGAACAGCCTTCTTTACTTGGTCTTGGAGTACTAATGGGGATGCTGTCAGGTGCAAATAGTATAAAGAGACAAAATAACCATCAAAAGCAAGGTATTTAGCATCTGCTGAATCATTCAACCAGGCTCCACTTAAATCAAACATGGCATTTAGATAGCCTGATGGAACCTTTCCATGTACCGACGATTTTTGATTAAGCAATTCTGACATCTGCAATAAAGATGTAAAGAAGATTTAGAGCTAAGGAGCCAGCCAATAACATAACAAAAAACACTAAAGGATCACTCAGATTATTTTCTTCTCTTATTCGGTTTAAAATGCAGCAAGAAAACCATGGCTTTTATGCCTATAACAGGTCTTGTTCTAACTTCTCTAAAGTTTTACTTCCCTTCTTCTAGGTTTATATTAGTATTTTACGGATATTTACGTGATATTCTAGAATTCAAGAAGCTTGATGCTCTGTTTTTGTTTAAATGCTGCTACACAAAATTTAAAACAATGGAGGAGAAAGTTAGGCTTGGCAAGCATGCTTAACCTTAAACAATAACATCATAACTTCCTGCATCTTAAATCTTCTGTAAACCTACCATATTTCTTTCAAGCAATTTCAAATGGTCAAACATATTCTTTTTCTTTTATTTTATCCTCCATTTCCTGAGCAAGTTAACTAATAATTGCACGAGAGGCGTGCATCCTTACTGCATAGAAACCCCCAAATCAATATGAAAAACTCATATCTGGTGTAATGGTCTAGGTGCGTGCAAGGTGACGCAGAGACCACTGTTATAAAAATTGCATTGATCAGCGCAAGAAGTTCTCTTCTTATACCACTCACTACGCCAATCTTTTGAATCGCCAATTTAATCTTACTCTACTAGCTCATTTAAAAGTTCCTGAATCTACTATCCTATATAGTATATACCACACACTGAGGACACTTCACTTCTTAGAATCAATCCTAGCACACTTCGAAGAAAATTCTAGAACACAATTGAGAAAATCATTTAATAAATTAAAATATTATTATAGGAGTAACATAATCTGTCTAAAAAGTTGAACTTGATTAAAAACCTCCACTTTCCATCATAAAATTCCCAAAAAAAAAAAAAATCTCCCACGATTATCCCCTCCACTACATTCAATTAAATTACATAGTTAATTCACATAGGAACTGCATTAATCCGGATCATACAATTAAACAAAGGATTTAAGTTATATACATATTTTAGACTATCATCATAATTTAACTCAGCTTCATTTAACTTGTTACCTGCAATTACCTTACAAGTAACCTGATTGTTTAAGTATGTTTTATTCCGTCAATTCATAGAATTTAAGCTCTTAAACATAATTCAGAAAAACACATTAAAAAAAATTTCAAACCAAGTAAATAATCATTAAAAAGGAGGGTAAAAAAAGGCAAACCTGATTAAATTCAAGAACATCGGATTTAAACCGAATATGGTCTCCTTTATCACATCTTATATTTTCAGAAACATCAGGAATGGTAACTCCACCAGGAACAACAACGTTGCGCCTATTCCTCTCATCCAAAATTACCAACCTACCCCCGTTTGAGCATTTTTTTACGAACTTCAACCTGAAATCGCTCGCAAAATCGAATCCACAACCCAAAGCTTCAGTAGCCTTAACCTCAATTGGCTTCCTCTCGAACTCTTCCTCCATCAGCTCAAAACGACGTAGTTTTGACCTGAAATTGAGGTTTTTGAGCTGAAAGTAGCTGAAATGATGGAAATTAAGGTTGATATTGGGGGTTTGGGGGGGGGGGGGTGTTGTAGGGGTAAGGGCGGAGTTGGTTAGAAGTAGATGACGCGAGAGGGAGAGGGAAAGGGAAAGACAAAAAGGTTTGACTTTTGACCAGACGTTTCGTCTGCTGTTTGTTGATTCCATTATTAGAAAATGAAACCTACCTTCAAAAGAAATTAATGAAAAATGGGAATTAATGTCTTGTAGGGAAGGTGAAGGGTAATATGGGAAATTTACTTTAGGATATTTTTTTTAATCATATGATATTAGGAATTCACTTGCTCAATTAAGAATTCGTTCAAATGGAGCTTTGGTGTAACTCGTAAAGTTGTTGTCATGTGACAGGTCACGTGTTTCGTGGATCAGCCAGGGGCGGAGCGAGCCTACCAGGCGGGGGTTCGGCCGAACCCAATCATTTTTTCTTAATCACTGTATTTTATCAAGAAATTCATTAAATATGTATAAATATTTAATTGCGAACGCAATAACAAAGACAAACTATGGGTTCCACGACAAATTCAGATTCATAAACTTCAAATCCTAATTCCGCCTATGGGAACAACCTCTTGTAGAAATATAGCGTAATACTCTTCCCCTGACCCCGAGCATAGCGAGAGTTTAGTGCACCGGACTGTCCTCTTTTTATTTGCTGGACTAATTTAAATTGTGTATGTAGGAGTTGTCTTGTAGGTAAGTGAAGGGTGAAGGGTATTATCGGAATTTCAGGCGATATTATGACACAGTTACCCAATTAATTCAGATTTATGCCGTGTATGGTTCGTTTGAGGGAAAAGATTCTATTAGAGTTTTTAATTTTATTTTGTTTAAGAGTTAAACTTGAGAACTTTAATAAAGGAAATTCCAGGGTGAAACTTTGAAATTGAAAGTTGAAATATCAATTATTGAAGAGCCAAAAGCTATTTAACATGAAGACTACTATAAATTGAAAAGTTCTCCTTTTTAGAAACTCTAAAGTTGAACAAAAATAATGAAATATGATAAGAGCATGAAATAGTTGACTCTTGCTAGTTGCAGAAAGAACAATTTAAGAATGATCGAATTATTATCTATAAATTTTCATTTATTTTTGAATATTGATTTCTCGTTCTACTTGTAATGAAATTTACAGAATTAAAATATAACATATAAAAATTATTATAAATCACAGTTTTTATAATTAAAAGAGTATCTAAAATGTTTTTAAAAATACCATTAAAAAGTTATTGACTATTCAAATTCTAGTAATTATTGTACAAAATGCGATAAATGGAGTAGTAAGATGTCACTATAACGAGTTGATAAAGTTAAATAGTAGTAAAAAGTAATCCTCACCGACTTTTGTACTAACTCTACTAATGTGAGGAGAACATTTGTGTTTAACTAATAAAATAAAGAATATGTGACTATTTCATATGCAAGCTTAAAAAATATGAAGAATCTTTGATTAAGGAGTGTTTTACTGTTTTGCTCCTCTGATTCATATTAATTATTTGGTATTTGAATTTATTGACTCGACTAATTCAAATCGTACCATAGAAGACTTATCAAAGAAGTAACACTTTATATTAGACCTTTTTGTTTTATTTTTGAAGACTTAAAATCCGAGACCTCTAATTAGCCCGGATGGATTCCATTCATCCTATCACATTCCTTGACGATAAAAATTTACTCGCACATAGTATTTACATCAAATTATACTAATTAATTATGTTTAACTTTAATTATATTCATAAAAATATATGATATGTATTTATTGGTTAGTGTAAATACATGAAGCGAGAAATTGGATCGGTAAAAAAAAACAAATGCTAACTTAGGGATCGTTTGGTTGGAAAACAAGTTATCCCATTATTAATTTTTCTTGGGATTAGTTATCCGGAAATTAATTATTCCACTCTCCCATAGAAATAAAAAAAATACTACAATTCTAAAATAACTAATTTTTGAATTAGTTATATTATAATTTTATTTCAATCAAATATAAATAATCTTATTTCAAAATTAATTATCTCTCGCTCTCGTGGCAGACGACTCATACGGAATTTCCAAGGATGGAAAGTGACGTTTGGAAATACCTAAAACCGCGTGGCCCAGCAGGTGGCTGGCAAAGTGTTGACTGTTCATTGGTGAGTCAGCAATCTCCTCTTTGCTTTTGATTATTTATTTTTATTTATTCCTTTTCAAATCTCACCTCATTTTTGCTTTCACTTTAAATATTAACTTTAATTGAGAGATTAAGTCCTCCATCAAATTAAAAATATGCAGATATTGAGTACATTATCTCTGTCCAGTTCAACTGTGAATCAACGATGATCATATCTAAAAATATTAATTTTTTTTATAACATGTTGGTTAGACTATTCTAAGTTGGAGGTGTGTGACTAAAATATAAGAAAAAACTTAAAGTAAGAGCCAAATCACAAGCATGATGTTTGTTAGTATTTTTTATATCTACCCCTTAGAGATTATACCTATGTTGATAAAATAAGGTAGTGAGTTTCATCATGATCCCTAACTTGATATAATACAAGGATACTGAGGGTCCAATAGCCGGATCGATTACGAGTCATCTCCTGACCTAATTTTACTTTTGTTTTGAATGGATCAAACTAAATATAAGAAGTTTAGTTTTTTTCTTTTTAATTTTTTATTATACTTATTAGGGTCGAGAAGAAGGATAGAGAAAACTAGGGAAGAGGATTACAAAATTGAAATATACATCAACTTGTAAAAACTACTAGTAGATCGATGTCAATGTTAGAGTGTTACGCGAGACAAGACGAGCAACATTGACCACACCACATCGTGAGCTAAATCTAAGGCTTAACAATTGAATCATATGAATTATTCACATCAACATTAAGGGATGTGGTGAGATAGATGAAATTTTTTCACTTTTAATTAGAGTCTCGAGTTTATGTTTATAAAAATAAAAACCCTTTTGTAGGAAGCATTTTTCCCTTTAATTAGGTCAGTGACTTCTGTAATACACCGAACATTAAACAAAACAAGAAAAGACTCATCCCATCTGATCCGACCAATTTCTCGTTGTTTGTTCAACTTCCGTTTCAAATAAAAAGGGAAAAGGAAAAAGAAAAAGAAATAACAAGATGAATCCTGTAAAAAAAATTGGGAAAATAGTAAAATTACCACACTTCCAAAGAGAAAAACTTGAAGACTCTTCCCAATCTGGCAAGTCCCTCTTCAACACGAAACTAATTGAATAATCTTCACAAAATATCACCCATCTAAGCCCATTTAAATAAGAAAATTGTTTATTTAGCATTAAATAACACATAATCAGTCAATGAGACGAGTGGACATTGATATGAATGAATTAAATATGGATTGGATTTAAATAATCTGGACAGTTGGTTGTGATTCTATGAGATTGTTTTGCCATTAATAATGCAAGGATTAGAATTTAATATCATTCTAATCTGTGACCGTTTCTCCTCCATTTTTCTTATAGGACAACTAATACTTTACTTTTTCCATCTAGAATATAATGTCTTTAAGAAATATTTCTTATTATAGAAAAATGGTTGAAATGCCCTCTCATTTGTTGTTTTTTGTTTTGAAAATAAATAAAAGCATTAAAAAAAATTGAGGAAAACAAAAGTTAATGATCATGCATTTAAAAATTTTGGGTTCATATGATGCTGTATTGTTTCTATAGTTTCTCTTGATGATACTGATATATTGTCTCTTTTTATTTTTTTGTCTTCTAGAACCGAGGGTCTATCGAAAACAGCTTCTGTACTCCATCGGATAGGGATAAGGTCTGCGTACACACTACCCTCTTCAAACCCCTCACTTGAAGGACTTTATTGGGTTGTTGTTGTTGTTGTTGTTGTTGTTGTTGTTTTTGTTTGGGTGGTGTAGTAAGAGGTTTAATGATCTCCACTTAAAATTCAGCATCATTAATAATAAATACTATCAATAAAATATTTGATTTGTTAGAAGAACCACAAGTAATTTTATCACTTTTTTTTCTAAATCTTCTGTTATTATATCAACTAGATAGGGAGACTTCAAGTAGAGTCGCCAGAAAAGACCAGAAAGTCGCCACTAAAAGTACTTCGGTTAGCTCGCCTCTTGAACTAGCGACTTATCACCATAATACTTTTTGCGTCGACTACATAGTAAGTTTACCTTTTGTCTCGCCACCAATACCATTCAAAACTAAAAATAGTGTCACGATCCATTTTCTGAACAAGCTGTGACCGGCACCCGATTATTAATCTTGACTGAGCGAACCATATGCGCTTATTAAATCTATTATAACTTCAAACTTTATATGCACCAAGGAAATACTTTAACCAAATACTTTTAATTAATTTAATTATCTAGACTCTAAAACTTTACTCGTAGTAACCACTGAAATACTGCTAAGTTATTATCAAAAACATGTGAACCTTAATTATGAGATTGTCTGGCTAGTTCTCCAAGTAACAAAGAAATAACTAAATAAAGATGACTCAAAGGAATACTCTACGAATAAAATCGGAGCTCACCAATAGCATTGAAAGAGAGGGAAGTCCTAACATGTAGCATGCTCGCCTGCAAAATCGGTTCCTACGTTGTACCGTTGTGATGACCCAAAATATCATCTTTAAATTTAACATTAATTTCTGTATTATAAGACCTCGAAAAGCACTATTTATCATTCCTCGACTTGCGTGCATAGTCCGTATAATTTTTCGGAAAGTTTTTATAATAAAAATGGATTAAAATGTGAAATAGAGCTTTAAAATTCAACTGAGTTGAATTTGGTCAATATTTTGAGCAAATGGATCCAAATTAGTGTTTTGACAGTTCCAGCAGGTCCGTATCGTGATTTGAGACTTGTGCGTATGCCTGGAATCGAATTCGGAGGTCCCTAGCTCAAGTTATCGTCATTTAACGAAAACTAGAAATCTAAAGGCTAAAGTTTTTCAAAGTTTGACCACGGATTTGACCTTATTGATATTTGACTCGGATTGACATTCCAAAAATTGGAATAGCTCCGTTACGTCATTTATGACTTATGTGCCAAATTTGGAGTCATTCCGGATTCGTTTAATGTATTTCGACAACTGTTTTGTAAATTGAAAAGTTTGAAACTCATAAGTCCGAATCGAAGTGTGAATTACAATTTTGATGTTGTTTGACGTGATTTGGAACCCCTAGTAAGTCCGTATTATGTTACGGGACTTGTTGGTATATCTGGACGAGGTCCCGAGTGGTTCGCCTGAGTTTCCGACAAGTTTCAGACCATTTTTGTTCAAGAAAACATCGTTGGAATTCTGGTGCTTCACAGTATTGGTTTCCGTCTATGCGATCGCATGACTATGTCCACGATCGTGAAGGCTTAATGTGAATGATGAAAAATTTGAACTATGTGATCGCATAATAACGTCCGCGATCGCACAGTGGCAGCAGTCAGAGCATCGCGAACGCAAAGGGCAAGGTGCGTTCGCATAGAAGGAAAGAAGTCAGAAGCTGGGCACGCCATTTGTGCTACGTGATGTCACAAGACAGTACGCAATCGCGTAAGGCTGAGAAAATGTTCTCCACGATTGCATGACCATTTATGCGATCGTGTAGAGTTAAAAATCTGGACAGCCAAAATCTACCTCGCGATCGCAAAGAATTATCCGCGATCGCGAAGAGTAAACTTGACCTAGTCAGAAATGTGTTATGCGATCACAAAGTATTTTCCGTGATCATATAAGGTAAAAACCTGGGCAGACAGAACTTAAGTTCTGTAAATGGGATTTCGCCCCATTTTTCATCTTTAACGATTTTGAGCTCGGGTAAGGCGATTTTTGAATGATTTTCATGGAAAATATTGAGGTAAGTGTTCCTTATCCTATATTGATTATATTTCATGATTTCATACATTACATCATGAATCCGTGAATTTATGGAAGAAAATCAGATTTTTATAAAATCTTCCAAAAATAAAAATCTAAGATTTGAAAGTCAATCCGATGTCGGAATTCGATAATTTTGTATGGTTCAACTCGTATCGGAACAGGTGTTCGAATTTCGTGAGTTTTTACAAGATTCGAGAGTAGGTCCCACTGTCGATTTTTAAATAAATTTTATATTTATATCCGAAAAATTAGTAAATTCATATGGAATTAATTCTTACGGATTGTATTGAGTATACTGAATTGTTGTGATTACATTTGAAGCTTTCGGACACGAATTCGCGAGGCAAAGGTTTATTGGAATCTTGAATTTGGTTGCAAAGCAGGGTAAGTATCGTGGTTAACCTTGACTTGAGGGAATTGAACCCTTGAATTATTTGTTATGTCAAATTCATGCGAACGACGTATAAGCAAGGTGATGAGTGTCTATATGTCGTCAAATTAATTATTTGCATAATTATCCAAAAATCATAAATTATTTTGAATCATGAATTAATTGTTATATTAATTATTTCTCTTATATTCCTTGCTCAATATTATGCCTTGAATCCGGGTATATATGGTAAAACTGATAACCCGAACCGTTAATTACTTATTGGATTATCGATATTAGATTATTGGGTTAATGGTTTGGTAATGGGTAAAAAAAATATATTATTGGGTTATCAGTTCGGAATCGGTTTAGCATTTTTATTATTGGGTAAACCGGTAACCCAATAAGGATTTATAAATTTACTAGTTTACCCTTAGTGCATTGTAACATAATTGATAATACTAGGGTTTTATACTTTCATTTTCAGTTTCACTCACGCTCAGACCAGTACGCCTACGCCCGCCTCCTCACTCACATTCACGCCAGTCCTCACCTTCAGACCACCGCCAATCCGCCACTGCCTCACGACTCATAGGGTCACGCCTGCCTAACTGAGCCCGTCAAGCCCTCATCAGTACGCCAGTCCGCCATTCATCAGCTTGCCATTTCTCCGCCAGTCACGGCTCACTCCCTCATCGTGTAAGTTCTGTCTTCTATAAGTTTTGGCTCAAAATGTTTGCTTCTGTTTGCTCAATAGCTTCTGTTTGTCCTTCAAATGACTGGTAAGCCCTTCATTTATATAAGCCAAAAAGTAGTGAGCATATACTGATTTTTGCAATACTAAGAGCTGCCATCTAATACAAATAGATATTGAAGAAAATAACTGTAAAGAGAAAAATACAATCGATGGTGAGAATGTTATAACAAAGATTAGTTCCACCCTTCCCACTAAAATGGTAACTTTAAGGATGTATTCCCCATCATCCTGTCTTTCTTGCCGTCAATTTTTCAAGAGCCATAGCAAGCTGATTTTTGGGCGCTTTGAGCAGCTCCTGCTGCCTGGTCTGGTTGATTTATCCTGATAGTTTGAGGCTGTAAATCCTGAATTTTTTAGTCTTTGTGCAAGCTAGTAGCTGAATTTTAAGGAAAGTGGTAGCGCTGAATTTTTTAGTCTTTGTGCAAGCTAGCAGCTGGATTTGAAAGCAGTAGCATACTAGCATTGTCTTCTGTTGCATTCACTTTTAATATTTAGTTTTTTAATATTCAGCATTCATCACTTTTAATTTTAGTTTCACTTTATCAGGTAAACCGATAACCGAACCAATAATGATCAATAACCTATAAACCAATAACCAATAACCAATATCTTATATCGGATGATGATATTTATAAATCGATAACGGATAGCAAAACCGATAATTTTCAAAATCGAACCGAACTGACTGATGCCACCGTTGCTTGAATCCATGCTTATTTGATCTATGTGACTTAACTGCTACTTGACATTTAGCATACTAAATATTAAATTGCTTATTTCCTTCTTAATCTCCAAAATTAATTGCTATTACTTATTATAACTTGTTTCATAAATAAATCATAATTATTATGTGCTTTTTGTCTTATAATTTCATGTTAATTGTTGCATTTATTGGAGTAATTTCTTTGGTAAGAATTTGTAAACTATAATATTTGAGGAGCGGGTTGCACGCTGCAACAGAAATGAAAGTGAATATATTGGAGGAGCAGGTTGCATGCCGCAATAGAATTGATTAAAATTAATATATTGGAGGAGCGGTTGCACGCCACAACGAAATTAAATGAAAATAAATATATTGAGGATCGGGTTGCACGCTACAACGGAATTAAAAATGAACATATTTATCACAACCCAAACCGATGGGCCGCAACAGGCACCTGGTGCCCTTACTCAATCGAGTACCAACGTAACGTATCTTTATCATTACATCAATATGGGTAAATGGGTTAGAAGGGCCGTATCAGGTAACAAAAATAAAATATAAGAGAACACTCGGCATAAAACGACCCAACCCGATATACTTACTTATACATATGACGTACGGGCCTATAAGGTCAAAATAATCACTCGTACACTGAACGTAGGCCGACAAGGCCATACAATTCTTCATATACATGACATATGTCTACAAACCTCTAAGTGTACATAAACGTCATAAGACCAGGACAGGGCCCCAACATACCAATCAATACATGTCTAAATCATACTTAACCAAATAAGTAACTCCGGAGCAAATGGAGCGCACCAACATCTTCCACTGAGCAGATAGCCTACTTGGAGGACTCTCAACCTGTCTATCGGGACCTGCGGGCATGAAACGCAGTATCCCCAAGAAAAAGGGACGTCAGTACAAATAATTTACCGAGTATATAAAAAATGAAAATCAGTAAACAATAGACATGATAGAAACATGGAGTAAAAGACTCAACATGTATATCTGAATAGCTTTGTGAATCATTTAATATTATAACGCCATGCATATGTGTATAAATATCATACCATGCATGGGTATATGTGTTCATAACAACATCAAGCCTCTGAGAACATCCCATCATATCATCTCGGCTATTATGGGCAAATAATCAATGTATACCAGCTGATCAGGTGGTGGTGCGTATATAACACCATAACCTTTTCCCATATCCTATATACATATATACGCGTATATAACACCATCTGGTCATGGTTTAACGTACATTTAAATGAATGCAATGCATCAGAAGTATGTCAATAAAATATTTCGGAATGTCATAAGACCATTATGCCTCTGATTAATATTGTCACACCTCCTTTTTACATCTACCCCGAAGGATAATGTATAAGGAAGTTTTTCCATTTAAAGTGACATTATTCGGATCAGGATTATTTATTTAGAGTTGCCACTTGGGAAAGGTTTGGCTTTTGGTGTCCTAAGTCACCGGTTTATCTTGAATCCCGAACCGAGAAAATTTTTTGACTTTCAAATTGGAGTCTGCGAACCAGAAATTCTACGTAAGGAATTCTGTTGACCCGAGGGAAGGTGTTAGGCACTCCCGGATCCCATGATTCTAGCACGGTCGCTCAAATTGTTGTAAATAGCTAAATACCTGATTTTAATACATGCTATAACTTATGTGATTTTTAATTTTGAAACGCTTTTATTATTATTTTAAAAGAATTGCAACGTCGTAAAAATATGTCTCGAACCACGTCGCAATTAATGCACCCGTAATTGTTAACACATTTCGACTCCGTTGAAATTTAGATTTGGGTCACATAAATGTGCACCTGAGTTTAGGAATGTAATTTTATTAAAATCGTGCCTAAAGAGTCTAACGTATTATTATTTTGGGGAAGTCCGTGAATTTCGCTAAAAGGCCCCTCCCGAATTCTAAGCAATTGAATATAATATTTATTGAGGGCCCCGCGATTTTATGTTCTATTTGTCGAGGCTCGTCTCATTTTATTTTAAAGGGATATCCTGTAACATTCTTCTATTGATGGTGATTTCTATTTCTCGAGCTAATCTCAATTTCATTTGATAGAGCCGGCCAGCATTACGCGAGTTTGAGTCTGCTAGGCGCGTAATAACCCAACGCCAATGAGAAACATTTCATTTGCTTGAAATGTTTTTTAACTCCTCAGGAAACAGGCCCATGAGAAAGAGCCCAATTCCAAGTCTCTACTGCGGTGGAGTGCAGACCAGGCTTCGATTCCTGGCATCAGCATAGCATCCAAATGGCCATATGAACTCCAAAGCCAACTGAATGGTTTTGCAATTATTCTATACTCTATTCTCAAGTTATAAGAATCACTTTTATATCTATTTATTTACCTTACTATTTTATACGGAAGAGCACCCAAATTTCATTAAAAGGATGACACAAATTGGAACCAGGAATTCGATGGTATAACAGCATGCTCGCGTGATATTGGTTGAAACAAATTGACTATTTTAAGACTAACTCAGAGATAGGTGAAGAATTAATTCTAGCAAACATGGTACTAACTACATTTATTCTGAACTAATCAAAACCACCTACTGATTTCCTGCTTAACTTTCAATTACATAGCATGAATAGAAGTCAAATTTCAAATCATTTTAGTTCCATCTCCTTTTGGATTCAAAGTTCCACTACACTAATTGAGCCTACAGACATAAATGAAACAAACTAACTAGACAATCTCTAGTATTATCAGTCTATCCACGCTAGTGTTTACAAGTAAGAAAAACAATCCAAATTATTTTAAACAATCCCAAATATACAGTCCAAAGTCTACCTACAGTCCAGGAACTATATGAATAAAAAATGAACTAAACCAAATACAAATCATTTATTACGGTTGGACAAACACATATCAGGAGGTGGATGAACATTTTATTTCATTTTTCCAACTTCAAAGCTACATCAAGCTGAATGTGTACCTGAAGTGTAATTCAATTGAGAAGAAGGAGAGTAGTCAGCAGCAGCAAGAAAGCAAGCAACAACAGTTTAAAAATCAAACTCAAAACCCAGGAGTGTGTTGAAAACCAAACACAACCAACAGAATAGCCCAAACAGTGCCAAAATACTCTGAAATGACCCAGGAAATCTGTATACCCAACTAGTTTAAACCACAATTAACTCCAACTAAATAATATCAATGTCCAAATTATTCTGAATACTTTCAGGATTCGAGTATGTAACAGAATCAGAGAATTCAAGCTATTTTTGGGTTTTGGAATGAACTAGAAGATTGAACTAGAGCTGGAATCTGAAATTAAACTAAAAAAAAGTAATGAAACAATGATATTTTTTATTTTTACTGCATTTTTGTTTCTGTTTTTGGATTTCAGAAAGTTTCTATTATTTTTATTTGGTTTTCTGTATAGAACTCAAAGCTAGAAGGAAGTTTTGAACCCTCTATAATTTGAAATTTGAAATCAGGATCAGATCTGCAGGAGAGCCTTTTTGGGGGAAATTTGATGGCTGAAAGAACTTCTGATTGAGGCAAAGGTGATACCCTTTTATAGGCACCAAGGGAGTCTTATCAGATTTTTTTTTCTTTATCAGTCCATGTTCATTTTCAGCCTTTACCCCTTATTTTTAAACTTGTTATCCAAGTAAGCCCCTAAGTTTGTTGAAGTATTCACTAAAATCCTATTCTAGAAGGGTCTAAACTATTCTAGTGTGATCTACCATGTTCTACTGTGACGACCCAATGGGGTCATCACCGTAAATGCTCCTTGATCCGTGCTTCTGAGGCCTCGAAAACCTCTTAAGGGGTTGCCTCGATTTGCGTGCGCAGTCGGGCGCGAAGCTGGAAAGATTTTGTAAGATATAAGTTGAATTCTAGATTAAAAATGCTAATTTTTAAGTATAATATTATTATAGTTGACTCCGGTCAACATTTTGGGCAAACGGGCCCGGACCCGTGATTTAACAATTTCTAAATATTCGTAATAAAAATTGGGACTCGTGCATATGCCCGGAATTGAATTCTGAGGTCCTAGGCCCAAGATACGGAATTTTCTGTGAAAATAGTTTTTGAAAATATCTTAAGGCTTTGAAATTGAATTATTGATTTTTAAATATCGTATCGGGCTCGTTTTTTGGTTCCGACGCCCGATACAGATCTTATATGATGTTTAAGCGTTGTCTGTGAAGTTTGGTTATAATCGGACGTCATTTGACGTGTTTCGGACCCGAATAGCTTGAATGAGAATTTGAAGTTAAAGTTTGGGAATTATGTGTTTTACGGATTAATTCTATGATTTTGATATTATTTTAGCGATTTGATCGCTCGAGCGAGTTCGTAGGATGTTATTGAGTCAGTGTGAGTGGTTGATTGGGAGCCCCGAGGGCTCGGGAGTGTTTTCGAGGGTGGTTCGGGGTGTTTTGAGTTGGAAATCTGATGCCTGCTGTTATTTTCGCATTTGCGGTCCTTTCTTCGCAAATGCGAAGCCTTGTGGTCCTCCCCCCTTCCTCGCAATTGCGAGACACTCGTCGCAAATGCGACCTGCCCCCTTCCCAAGTCCCCGTTCGCAAATGCGAGAGGTTTGTCGCAAATGCGACGCCTCACTCTTCCCTTCCCGTTCGCAAATGCGAACTTCTCGTCGCAATTGCGACCCACGTCTTCCTTCAGTTCCTTCGCAAATGCGAAGCTTTTCTTGTACTTGCGAGATTTTACCTTTACCAGCCCTCTTCGCAAATGCGAAGCTTTTATCGTAAATGCGACATCCGCAGCCCTGTTAAAATAAACTTAACCGATTTTGAAGTTTATTTTTCAAACTTTTCAAAACCCAAACGCACTGGACGAAAATTCTCTCTACTCTTTCTTCTCCAATTCGATTGTAAGTTCATTCCTACTCGTTTTCTTCAATCATCATCATCATCTAACATGATTTCTCCTTGAATTAAAGTTTTTTCATGGTTAAAAATGGAGGTTTAGGTAGAAACTAGGGTTTTTCATATTTTGAGCTTTTGGACCCCAATTTGAGGTCCGATTTCAATTCCAATCATTGGTATGAGCTCATGGGGGAATGGGTAATCTGGTTTTGGTCCGAACCTCGAGTTTCGACCACGTGGGCCCAGGGGTATTTTGGAAATTTTTGGGAAAAACTTAGGGAAACTCATTTATGCATTCAAATTAGTCCAATTAGCATTTGTTAATTCATTTGGGCAATTTATGACTAGATATCATTGTGTGGGAGTCAAATTCTAAAGGGAAGGCGGTGTTAGAAGCTTGATTTGCTAGTTCGGCATTGAGGTAAGTGTTTGATCTAACTTTGGTTCGAGGGAATAGGATTAGGATATTATTTGCTACGTGCTACATGGTGTCGGCGTATAGGTTTGGTGACGGTTATCTATGCGCCCGAGTCAAGCATGACCGTGAGTCCTTAATTGAAGATGTTAAATGCCATAACATGAATTCTTGTTGCTTAATTGACTCTTATGATGAATTGTTGGAGTTAAATGAATTGAAAGTCTTAAATGGAGGAGTTGATAGTGAAATCTTGTTAAGTTGTATCGGATTTTATGTAGTTTTGCTCCCCTGTCGGGATGATTGGTTGTAGCTGTACCTTAGCCAGGTTTAAAGGATCTTATTGAGTTGTTGTAATTCCTTGAAGTAAGAAGCTTATGCATGTTTGCACAAAACTTGATAAATATTCGTAGGGTCGGGTTGCACGCTGCAACATATACTTATTGAAGTATTCGTAGGGTCGGGTTGCACGCCGCAACATATGCTTATTGAAATATTCGTAGGGTCGGGTTGCACGCCACAACGAAATTTTAATGAAACACTTGAAAAGGGCGGGCTGCACGCCGCAGCGGAGTATTGATTGAAATGGTGATCCTGTATTTATGTGGAGATAATGATTATCTTCTGGTGATTTATCTATTTATTCTGTTGATCCCCTCTCTAGCAGATTTCCTTATTACTATTGTTACACCCCCATAGCATGTCCCCTCCCCTTTATTATTGCGTAGTTCTACCTTTGCTTGTTTTGTATACATATATATATCTTGCACAGGTTTTTAAGCTGTAGGTCCTGTCTAGCCTCATCACTACCTCGTGAGCCGGGTTAGGCCAGACACTTACCAGCACATGGGGTCGGATTGTGCTGATACTACACTTGTTGTGCTCTTTTGTGCACAGATCCCGGAGTAGCGCAGTTCCAGCAGCAGCAGTAGACGCGGAGTTAGCCTTATCCTCCAAAGGCTGTGAGGTAGTTCACTGGCGTCCGTGGACCGTCCAGCCTCCTCTATTATCTTAGTTTGTTTATTGAATCAAACAGACTTATGTATTTCTTTCTTTCAGACCCTTGTTGTAGTAAATGATTAGACTGTCCATGATAGCTGTCACACCTCCTTTTGGCGCGCACGCACCCCGAGGGATAAATGCGCAAGGGAGTTTTTCCACTTTAAGTGACAATATTCGAAATGGGATTATTTAATTGATTTCAGAGTCGCCACTTGGGAAAGGATTGGCTTTTGGTG